TTAGAAAGTCGTTAAGCTGGAAAACTGCAATATACTGCAGACTTTTCAAAGAGGGTACTTTGATGTATTCATTCAGCTTAGTGAAAACATAACATTTTTGAAAATAACACCCCATTTTGGCTGTAAAAATTGCCCTATGAGTAAATACTATTTAAGCAGCTACTGGCATGACAGAAAGGTCTCTTTTTAAACTAGATCACATCATATTTTATAAGATACAATGATTAACAATGCATGTTAACGTCAATATTTACGTAACAACCAATTTACATTATTTTTGCTTTTTGGAAATGCCACATTACTATGTCATTCGCATTATTTGTTGCCGATAAAGCTGCACGACCATATGAACTAGGAGGCCCCTAACAGTTCATGAATAAAAGCCAACTTCACTTCAAGTATATTCCACTACACCTAACATTCCTTAGAGAGATTTTATTGACAACTTTATGTAACTGATAAGGCTGAGACAACTATCTGACATCACCCATGTCAAGGAATTCCAGCTTTAACAGTAAACCCACAACCAATTTCTCAAAACTGTGCTAGAGGGTTATTCATTGGCACAAAAGTACGATATGAACTGACGCAACAAAGGAAAAATCAAACTTACACTGTAACGGATATCTATACCTCCCTTTGAAGTTAGAACGAGTCTTCCCAACAAACAGATTTTTTTTTCAAATAAAATCAAAGATTAATCTGCATTACACTGATTAAACCACGGAAGTGTTTAACTACAAAAGATCCACCAATACTGTTTTAATACTATTTAAAGGTTCTTCCAAAGGAAGAGATACCAGATAGCATACTAACAACTCCGATGACGTACAGTATGGGAAATATTTTATTCATTGAATGATCAACCATATTTTGTATCTAACGCAATTAATATCATTATTGTTTTTACACTTATTAATATTTAAACAATGCTAAATGCTCAAAATATGTACAATTTCACTCAATTCATTGCAGTTAGATGAATTAGCTTAAGCCTTGAAAGTAACCGTCGATTTCGACGGGTTTCACCTAGTATTTTTTTATTGTTTGTTATCGTAGTTGTCAGCTATATCAATTCGTTAATATCGGTATATCGGATCGAAAAATAAGATTCGATATCGAAAAGTAATCATTGTTAATATCGGTATATCGGATCGAAAAATAAGATTCGATATCGAAAAGTAATCATTGATAATAATGAATGTTCCCTTTGACAGGAAAGTAGGTACGCCTACCATAAGTTAAAATTAAAATGATGTGACGTGTTAATATTACTAAAAACAGCCAAGAGGTTGACATGTAACATTTTGGCGAAGTTGGGCTTAACTTATGCTTCAATGAAATAAAACTTCTACTTCATCGTATACAGGGCTCATTAACGCATCTTTCCATTTAAGTAGACCCTATGACAAAACTAAGCCTATTAAATAAGGCCTACTTATTTCAAGGTTACACCTAAGTCAAAAAACTAGTTTCTACCAATAACATGTAGGCCTACTGTAGTTGAAGACCTTAATTAGGTAAAAAAGATAAGCAATAAACTTAGGCCTACTAAAAAAAAGACCGGTAGGCCTACTGTCAATAGGGCATTTTGGTAAGTAAGTTAGATCGTATACTACACCTTTTCCAATTGTATTTGAGAAACAGTTAACTTATGTTTATTTGAGAACATATCAATCGTATTTGAGAGTAGACAAATATATTTTAGAAAACAATGAAGTTGAGAACAGTCAGTTGTATTTGAGAAGGCATCAATTTAATTTAAGAGCATTAAATTATATTTTAAATGGTTAAATGTATTTGATAACTTGTGATTTGATAATGAAAACTCAAAATTCAGCTGATCAATAACCAACTTCTCAAATTAAAATCCCTAATTCTGAAATGAAATTAACAATTGCTCAATTCCATATAGGCCTAATAGGCTACTTTCTCAAATACAATTGACTAATCCCAACCTACATTTCGTTGTTTTATTAAATTCAACTGACTAAGTTTAATCGCATTTACATGATATATTCTCAAATACAAATAATGATTCTCAAATAGCCTACAATTTATAACTTCTCAAATAAGTGTGGAAAAGGTGTGTAGTTTCTTTTTGTTAAAGAAAGCCTAACAAATACGCATGTTGTATCATCAAAATCTAGTACCGTATTGAGATCAGTAATAAGCACTTGACATTTTATCATAACTTAATCACCAACCAATAATGAATGCATTTGACACACTCACGTACATTTAAATGCATTGACAAGGACAAAACATAAGTGATTTCCATTTTCACATCAGCTACCCACAGGAGGAAGAAAGTAATTACGGTATCAAAATGCAAAAGGTAACAAAGCAAAGGCAAACTGAAGTCGACAACTGTATTAATTTATAGAGCAAAGACTATTCACTGATAAAAAAGTAACCGCGATAACACTTATCTACAAGCGAGTTCAGTTATTACTGGCAGTTCAAACATAACAAACATGTCAATAACACTATTAAGTTTAACTTTTATTGGAATATATTTTAAAAGTGCATTTGGTGTGGCAATAACTTATCTTAATAATACTTGGTGACTAAAAAGACAAAATTTAATTTCAATGTTACCTGAATAAAGTTAAGTTAGGGCCTATGTAGCCTACCTTTAAATTGCTTATAAAAATACTTAGGCCTAAATTAAACGGTTTAAGTTAACTGTTATGTAGAAGTTTTAAACGCAACTGTGTAAAAAAAAGTTTATGCTTTGAAAAACAAAAAAAAAAAAAAGTCAAAGTCACTTATCAAGTTTAGGGGCCTACCTTCTCTGGCATTCAATTTATAAAATTTTTGGACCAATTTGTAAATAAATCAAAATTTAAAACTACCTATAATTTTTAGTTAAAAATGTTGAGCCAAACCAACAGAAAATTAGAATCTTTATTACGAGTAACTTACATTAGCTTTATCTACCCATAAAATGAATAATGAATAAGTAGGCTTACCTACATCACATGAATAATGTATGAAAAGTTAAAAAAGCTGCATTTGAATGACTTGCAAAGCAATAAGGACCACAATGAAAATTGACCAAAAGCTATAATCATAGCCTATATAGGCTAATCTACAAACACAACAGTTAAGTTAGGCCTACAGAGGGCATTTTCAATCACTGACTTAATTTTGTTAAATTTGGTAGGCTAGTAACTTACAAGTATATTTTGCAGCTTAATCTGCACAACTAGTTTAATAGGTCTGACCACTGTTTGTAATAAAAATGTTTAACTAAGGTATTATTATAGAGGGAAAAACCATAAGTTAAGTAGGCCAATGTTTCAAGAATGCTTTATGTACTTAACTTACCAGGCTGGGACCCAATTATCTGGGAGAAACTTACCTTATTTAGTTAGAATCTTGTTCACAATTTGAGAATAAACCAACAAATTTCATAATGAACTTAATTCTTGCAAATATCAAAAACATTTCAGTTAAATTTGAAACCACTGTATTTTAAAATTAGTAAAGTGCATCTAAGTTGGCTAAATCATCAATTCAAACAATATTATGTTCAACAGCTGTTTAGGGTAAATAACATTATTTTTAATATATTGTTGCTATGTTTTCTCAATGCATTATTCTGATTATATAGGAAAAAGGGGAAAAAAAATAATTACTAATGTAATACAAACACATGTTCAGTTAAGTTCATAATTTGAAAATAACTGGTGTGTGGTGGTAAGAATATGCTTAATAACTTAATTTAACAAAGGTTAACTTAGATAAATGGAGGATTTCTTCAATATTGCTGTAAGTTGTTTAACTTATGCTGTCATAAAATATATTCTATGGATAAAGTTAAACTTGCTTCATTTTTTTATTACAAAAAACACATGGGCCTAACTTGTTTAGGTACAGCTAAACAAAACATTTATTTTTATGATACACAAGGATCTAATTTATGGATAAGTATTGGAAGCTAAGAATTTTCTGACTTTTGGTGAACTGCACTTAGCGAATAGACAAATCCACTTTCAAGTACAATTAATTACTGATGTTCAAATACAAGGTGGTCAGTTAAACTTAAAATAAACAACTGAAACAAGAGCCTAAAAAGCCTAACAAAACAAATGTCTAGACCTTCGCTTGGTGAGAACATGTTAAGTTAAGTTATCCCTTGAAATTAAAAATAGGCCTAAGTTAACTTATGTCAAAATTGTCCATCTTGCTTTTAAACTTTAACTTACATCACTTATACAGTAAAATTAACTTAATCAACTTATTGTTTGTTTGCTCCTGAAGAAGGCTAATGCTGAAATATAGAACTTTAATCTATGGGCCCAAATAAGTTAATCAGTAATTTAAATAGCCTAACTTGAGTTAGATAGCCTACTGCATAAGGACAACTAGCTTAGCCTAGTTTCCAAAACTAGCTCAAAGCATGTTACCAGAATGAAAGTTTAAATAGGGTATTGTGTTATCCTAACTTAAGCTTATTAAGCATTTATTTATGAAACCTAAAATATATCACAAAGTGAATAAGTTATAGCCTAGTTTGATGAAACAGTACATCCACTAGGTTTTCGATTTATGGGGATTTGGCTTGACTTTAAATGTAGGCATATGCAGGCCAACCAAAATAATATAGCTAACTTAGCTTAGATCTAACTTAGTTCACACCACAACACAACAAAATACATTTAAACAATAATATCCCTAACTGTTTACCGTCATAACAATATTAAAAATAAAAACAATTTAAGTTACCTAAGCCTATATCATTAAATATTTGAACGGAATGTGATTACAATAAAATGCAACGACTGAAAAAGAAATGCAACCATTTGAATTCGTCAACTGACCGATCTTGTTTAAAGGTTTGGACTACGGTTGAAAATACTGCTAAGCATATAAATCCTGCGCTTTTATGAAAACAAGATTCCAAACAAGTTATACACCACTAAAACAACACTTTCAAAGCTAAAATGTTCAAATAGTAGAGACGACATTTAGTAAATAAACAGTTTTCTTACCTGAACCTTTCAGCAGACGAATTCTTCGAGTTCAAAAAGTTTATTAACATTTGTATTTGAGTGTCAAAAGGTAAAATTATGTATTCTTTCTAATTAAGCTATAGAACTGTATATTCTCTACGATTTAATCATGTTTTAGAGAATACACTCTGTATCTTTACACTGGAAATTACAAATAATAACATCACTGTTGTAAAGATGGACGTATAACCTAAAGATGGCCGCCATTAGAAATACAAAAACAAAGGTCTACAAGACAAGCTCAAAGTAGTTTTAGTCTCCAACCCAGACTAATTTTCCGTTGAAGAGCTTTTGGATTCTTTATACAGCCAGTGCTATGAGCTAAAATTTGTTTTACTAAAATGTTTATAAAAATCATGTTAACACAATATTTTTTTCGGGGGGGGGGGGGAGTTCATGCTGGCCATAACAATACGAAATCAGAATAATGTATTAATATTAATCTATATTATTTAAGGTGAAGTTTTAAATTAATTTTTATACAGTATATCAACTAGCCCGACAGACGTCGTCCTGTCCTAATGTGGTTTTATGTCAATACTCGTTCATTTTCAAGATAAGCTCGTTCGCATGGCTCAATCTCAATCACGTCCGGTTGAAGTTCGTTTGCTACGCTTACTCACCTTTAGGTTGGAGCTCGTTCGCTGCGTTCACTTGCCTTCAGGTGAGCTCGTTCGCTACGCTAACTCTAGCCCTGAAGCATTGAGTTGGATACTGAAGTGGACTGTGGACTTCCCATCTACAGTATATGGACCAGCTGTAGCCAACTTGTTATTAAAAAAGAATGTAGTTGTGTGAGCCAGCCACAGAATGCTCTAGTGTCCAAAATTCTATTTTATACCTTATTTTTTGTTGCTGACCTGGTTGATGGGTCATAACAGTTTTCTATAACTCATCATAAGTCATTCTACGACGATTTTTAAAAAGCTGGTTACAAATTAAACATTGGGATGGAATGTCTAAGCTAACTCGCCTCTAGGTTGAAGTTCGTTCGCTATACGCTCACTCACCTTTAAGGTTGCAAATTAGATGTTGTCATAAATTTAATAAAAATAATAGTGCTGCACCCTGTTGGTAAACCTATTATAGAGAGAATATAGTTTTGGTAGTGAAACAAAATTCCCTCTGTCTTGCTTTAAATCAAGCCCTGCAAATAAAACGTGTTATACTGTTCACAAAACTTAGACAGTTTTAGGGGAAGAAATCTATCCCCTCCACGTCTTGTTCCTACCATTACTGGACCCATTAAAACATGGCTCAACAGCTGAGATTTTCCAAAACGTTAATCATCTGCAACATACATTAAGTAGAAAAAAGAGGTGGGGGAACTTCCCCTCAAACCAACTAAATAATTTGAATGGAGTACAGTATAGAATTATGAGTGGCTACAAATAAATATTGCTCTTTATAACAATTTCTTAAAGAACTATTTACTGTTAATTTCAGCTATAAAAAAAAACGGCCGAATAAGACTTCTTTCAAGGTGGGGCAAGAAGTTTTGCAAGGGTGCCTGCAGACAATTTTTTAGGGGGGGGGGAGTGAAACTTGTATCTTTTTCTGGGGGCAGGGGAAATTATCTCTCACACAAACAATTTTAATTTAAAATGATTATTCTTAAAAATATTTTCAGAATTTCAGGACATATTTAAAATGTCACATCATTATTCTCTTGGAGGACTGGTTGTGTTGTAGATATTATCTTATTTCCTCCTCTTCATCGTTGACCAGCCTGGGCCGGATAGATAGCGTCAAAATCCTTAAAACTACGATTTACAATAAATAAACATATAAATGACTGCGCGGCGGTGGATGCTTATGCTAGCGACAGTGTTGTTGAATTTAAAAAAAAAATCCTTCAATTGAATGAAATGGGTTTGCTAGGAGAGGTTCCTTCAAGATCTTGGTGAAAACCTTATCTTCCATGTGCACTATTTCGGCAGGGCATTGAACATATTAACAGCAACCTGCGGGAAACTCTCTTGTCATTGCAAGCCTACATCTAGTTGTGTTCAGTTTGTGTGCGCCCTAGTTTATGCTGTGATCATGCTGTTCCCTGTCCCCCTCTGTCTTCGGTAAGGAAAATTCTGTTTTCATGCAGCAGCAGATGCAAGTTTGTTTTTTTTATTATTTTTTTAAGTATAATTTCATCCGGTTTATGTAGAGGGAATTTCGATTAGCTCGCTCTTCGATGTCTTCACCACAATCCGTAGATCAGGGAATCGGTATTTTTCTAGTAATAGTCATGGGGGTTTTCACAAAGTTTTCACGATGACAGCTGGCCTATAAATGGATATTAATATCTATGTAATCCTATGTATTTGGTGTTATTGTAATATGGCTGATTATTAAGCAGGACAGCTGGGCTTAGTTTATAAACATAAAACAATAATGACATTAAATATTGATGATAAGACAGTCAGATTTTGGGTGTCCGGGCTGATTACAAGATGAACTGAAGTCAACCCTTGGAGAAGGTCACCTGGACTTCGCTCTAGGTCCGTAGACTCAGCAGGATTTTACGCCTCATTAAGAAAACTAAAACATCAGATCTCTTGACGTCCCTACTGGTTCATGGTTTACCACTCGCAATTTCATAGTTATATCAACTATGGTCTGGCAGTGTAGGGACATATAGCCACACCATCCAAAGTGTGTTGCCGCTACATAAGAAGGCCGTAAGAATAATTAAATCTTTAGGTACAACTGACCACTGTCATTTTATTTTTAAGGAGCTCGCTATCCTGACCATACACAACCAATTATGCTAACCACCTATACTAGTCTACCTTTGCAACTAGGAGCATGCAGCACGATTATGGGATGCTTAGAATGTGCGACTTAAACCTACCTCGATTATGGGACGCTGCAACTTGAAAATGCCCTGCTGCCAAATCAGCTACATTCTGAACTCTTACCCATTGCTTGCTATCAGGCTATTCAACATGCTGTCGATAGGGGTTCGTGTTCTTGACCAAAAGCGATTCCAAAACAAGGCTTCAACAGCATTGTCTACTCAATAGAGCGCTTTGGCTGTGGCAGTACTCATTGCAATACAGTAACTTTGATGAGCCTCTCAGCTTTGTAAATAATACTGCTACTCTCGCCAATGCTGCTAAGTTGCAAGTTGTAAATATATTTGTGTAGTAATATTGGTAGCCGTCAAGGTGCCACCACGACAACCCGCCTCCTTGGTTTTTCGGCCAGAGGAAACAACTCGCCAATCTATGGGGAGGAAACTGGTCTAGTGGTAGAGCGCGGGGCTTGGCTTATCGGTGCCTGAAGGCTTATCGGTTCAAATCCCACCATTCACCAATGGATTTTATCTACGTGATATTGCCTCAACCCTCAAATGACAAAGTCTGAAGTAATGTGTAAAACAGTTCCGAGCTAGAACTAGCGTCCTAAGGTGGGACATAAAAAAACTAAAAAAAAAAAAGGAAAAAATACCCCCGCCGCAGCAAACCTGCAGACTAAGCGAGTTTCCATTTGCCTGATTGTATTTACACTAAAATGTCTCCTTAAAAATAGGCCTATCACATTTATTCCCTATTTCAATAACATCAGTTTACCTTTTACCTTCGATGTCTTCACCACAATCCGTAGATGGGGAATCGTCATAGTTCTTCCGTCTGGACGGGATTTTGCTGTATGTTCACGAAGTGAGCTGGCGTATGTGTGTGTATGAATGTTCCTCTATGTACTCGTTTATGTTGTAATATGGTCTATTGATCAGGTATTTTTTTAGGTGTTGGACAAATGTTTTATTGTTGTGTAGATGTTTAAATTGTTGTGGTAGCAAGTTGTAGAATTTTGAGCCAGCGTAATTGTGGTGTATTAGTATTGCTGAATTTAGAGAGTCTATGTTGGGGTAGATCTATGTTTGCTTTGTGTCTTGTATTGTGTGTATGGAGTTTAACAAGTAGTTAGGTTTGCTGCTACAGGTAGGGTAAAAAAGGTGTTTTTTTGTAAAATATTAATACGGTACTTTAGCGAAATGAATGCATTTTCCAAATTTCATCAAAATATCCTATACTCTAATATGAGCAATGTTTGCTTGTATGTATGCTTGCTAGTCCTATACTCTAATATGAGCAATGGTTTGCTTGTATGCTTGCTTCCACCATAAGATCTCGAAAACGGCTCCGACGATTTTCTTCAAATAAATGTTGAAAATAGTTTATTCCGGGGCCCATTTCATAATAAAGTACAAACTATAGTTATTTGTGCAACTAGTGAGAAAAGTGAGCAATTGACTCACTCGAGAGAAATCCTTACTCACGAGCCTTAGGCGAGTGAGGAATGGTTTCTCGAGTGAGGCAATTGTACTTTGAACTCGAGTTGCACATTATACTTTTCCTACAGTTACCATAAAACAAATAAATTTGTGAAGAAACATAACCTATTTTTACACAGAAGTGAACTTTTAATATAACATTTAATGTGAAGTGACAAATACAACAGTATTTGACAAATACAACAGTAGCTGATTTACAGCCAGTGCTGCCAACGTATTTCGTGCGCATACGACGTTGCCTGCATGTTACGCGCTCACTATTTCGTGCCTTCACGTTGCAAATCTGGAGTGAGACAAAGTAATTAGAGTGAGACAATGTTAACATTGTCTCACTGATGAGCGAATTGGCCACTTTGCTTTCTCAAATCAGTGAGAGAACATGTACATTGTTAAAGGTAACTGTAGGAAAATATTATTAGTAAATCAGCTGATCGCCCAATGCAAATCTAATGGAAATTATAAGTTACAAGTTGTAACTTGTAACTTGTAGTTTATTATGAAATGGGCCCCTGGCCTAAAAACGAGTTTACTGCAGTTAGTGTTGAATATTTCGAGAATCTACGATTAATCACTAAACAGAAAACTATAAAAAAAGTTATTTTTAACAAAAACCTGAATGATGTTGTTTATTCAAGTTCAAATTTAACACTAACAAATCATCTGTTAATAAACAATAAATTAATATTAAACACAGACTGTTAGAAACATGTTACAATTTTAATAACTTGATATTGTGAAATGGATACGATCCTAAAGCCAGACAAGTTTAGTGTAGATCCAAACTCATCATCTGCAAGTAAGGAATGGACACATTGGTACAAAACATTTCAGAATTTTGTTACCAGCATCACACCACAACCATCCGACTCCGATAAACTCAAAATACTTATAAACTTTATTACT